GAAGGCGGAACTTGGTGCACGGGACCGATTACGATATCCAGTTTGAATGTCTGCAGGTGATATCTCCTCCACCGAAAACAATTTTTAAAACAACACACACCTCCCCTACGTTTTGATTTCCCTCTCTCCTTTCCACACCTTGAAGGGAGACTGGAAGATGGAAGAACAGGTGAGTCTCCCAATTTTGTTGAGCGCCCTCAAAAACCAAAAAAAAATTCCAATACCCCAACACCGCCCCTCCCCCGCCGTTTCAAACAACTTCTCCGATACCTTTCCCTCAACTCAAGACACAAGATCATTGACACATCCCAGGTAGCAAATGCAATTGAGATCGCCTGGAATCCATCCTCCGACCCAGCCCTAAAATCGCAAGCTTACGAATACCTCAACCAACTCCGCTCTGACCCCTCCGGATGGCAGGTTTGCCTCTCTCTCTTCACCAAAACCCCACAACAGCCCGAAGTCGTACGGCATGTCAGTCTGGAGATTGTCAATAGTGCTGCCCAGGTCGGTTTGATCGATCCGGCCTCGCTCGGTGTCGTTCGAGATAGTGTGCTAGCCTACATTCGCCAGGTCTACGGCCCGGAGGCCACTGCCACCCCCGATCCTCCTTACATCCAGAATAAAATTGCACAGACCGTTACTTTCCTCTTCTCCTCCCTCTATGCGAACGGCTGGGAGACTTGTATTGACGATCTACTGAGCCTGACCAACAAATCCGCGGGCCGGGATAACCAAATCGGCGTTGTTTTTTACCTGCGTGTGCTGAGTTCAATTCACGAGGAGATTGGCGATGTGCTGGTCTCTAGATCCCGCGGGGAACAGGATAAGGCGAATGCGCTGAAGGACCTGATCCGTGAGCGGGACATGCAGAAAATTGCCAACTCCTGGCAGGAGATTTTGGCGGTCTGGCGGGAAGGTGATGATGTGATTGTCGAGATGTGCTTGAAGGCGGTTGGTAGCTGGGTCAGCTGGATCGATATTGGTCTTGTCGTGAACCAAACCATGTTAGACCTGCTGTTCCAGCAGCTTGGACGGGCCGAGAAACAGGAGCTTCGGGAGGGAGAACAGCGGGTGCGTGATGCGGCCGTGGACGTCTTCACCGAAATCATTGGCAAGAAGATGAAACCTTCAGACAAAATTGAGATGATCGCTTTCTTGAACCTCGACTCCATCATCACGCAACTGTCTAACAGCCCTCCACTACGGGAGAGCCGATTCACATCCAAGTACGATACTGATTTGGCAGAGACGGTTGCCAAGCTTGTCAACAACACAGTCGTGGATATTGTGCGGGTATTGGATAATGATGCTGGTCCCGTCAAGGAGCAGGCAGAAAACCTTCTGCAGGTCTTCCTGCCTCACATTCTGCGATTCTTCTCAGACGAGTACGACGAAGTCTGTTCGACTGTTATTCCTTGCGTCAACGATATGCTCACCTACGTCCGGAAACTGGCAAAGGCGAACCCATCCTTCGAGCAGCGAAACAAGTCCATCCTGCTTCCGATTTTGAAGGCAATCATTGCAAAAATGCGGTACGACGAGACCTCCAACTGGGGCGAGGAGGACGAGCAGACAGATGAGGCAGAGTTCCAAGACCTGCGCAAAAGACTAGGTGTTTTGCAGCAAATCATCGCATCGGCTGATGAGCAGCTTTTCATCGATGCGATCTCAGAGGTGGTAGGAACAACTTTCCAAAAACTGCGGGCATCCGGTGGGCAGCTCGACTGGCGTGACCTAGATCTCGCTTTGCACGAGATGTTCTTGTTTGGCGATCTGGCCGTCAGGGGTGGCAGTCTCTACTTGAAGGGCGCCCCTACTAACATGGCTGCGAACCGTCTCATCGAGATGATGCTTGCGATGGTAGAGTCCGATATCCGATCATTCACCCACCCGGCGACCCAACTTCAATACATGGAGATATGTGTTCGCTATAGCTCATTCTTCACTCACCATACTCATCTCATCCCCGGAGTTCTGGAGAGCTTCCTCCAGCTTGTGCACCACCCTGTTCGAAAAGTCAAGACTCGTTCGTGGTATCTGTTCCAGCGGTTAGCTAGACAGCTGCGCAGCCAAATTGGGAACGTAGCACAAACTGTTGTGGAGGCATTGAGTGACTTGTTGGTTATCCAGGCCGAGGTGCCTTCAGAGGGCGATGACGCTGATGAGATGTCTTCCGAGGACCACGAGGGCTCCGCGGACGCCGTGTTCAATAGTCAGCTGTACCTTTTCGAGTCAGTTGGAATCATTTCCTCGACCCCTAGTGTCAGCGCAGATAAGCAGGTTCTCTACGCCCAGTCGGTAATGAACCCTGTCTTCAACGATATGGAACGTAACCTCGAAGCGGCCAAGGCCAATGACGAACGTGCTTTGCTGCAGATTCACCACGATATCATGGCCCTAGGAACCCTCGCCCGTGGTTACTCGGATTGGCAGCCTGGTACCAGCTCACCCGCTGCTCTGCCGGTGCCTGAGGTCTCGGCGGCTTTCGCCCAGGTTGCTGAAGCGACCTTGGTTGCGCTTGAGTCTCTCAGTTCTTCATTCAATATCCGAACTGCTGCTCGCTTTGCGTTCTCGCGGCTCATTGGTGTTCTGGGCGCGCAGATTCTCCCTCAACTGCCCCGATGGATCGATGGACTCTTGACTCAGACTTCGTCACGAGACGAGATGGCCCTGTTCCTCCGCCTTTTAGATCAGGTCATCTTTGGATTCAAGGGTGAGATATATAGTATCCTCGACACTCTTCTGACTCCCTTCTTGCAGAGAGTCTTCTCTGGCATTGCCGATCCGACAACCGGCACTGATGACGAGATCCAGCTTGCCGAGTTGAAGCGAGAGTACCTGAACTTCTTGCTGGCTGTACTGAACAATGATTTGGGAACTGTAATCATAAGCGAAAGGAACCAGCCCATCTTCGAGACCGTGATCACCACCATCGAACACTTCGCGAAAGATATCGACGATTTTACAACCGCCAAGATGGCGTTCTCTGTCTTGGGCCGTATGGCAAGCTGCTGGGGCGGACCTGATATTGCCCCTACCCCTGCCAATGGCACCGCGCCTGCCCAAGCCGCACTCCCCGGCTTTGGTGGATTCATGATCACCCGGTTCTCGCCTTTGTGCTGGGCACTGCCCACGACACCATCCTTCAACTCCAAAGATGCACAAGCTAAGCAGGTCCTTGCCGAGGCCGGCGCTTTGCAACGCACTATCTACTCCAAGACAGGCATGGAATATGCGGAATACTTGCGCAGCCAGGAATTGCCCGGCATGGGCATGGGGGCCGACCTCATCGAAGAGTTCCTGACCGCTATGAACCAGCTGGACGTGAAAGGGTTCCGGCAATTCTTCCCGGTATGTGCTAATGCCTTAATACTCCCAACGCTTTCGATCTAGGTGGCATATAACTAATTCATATGAAACTGCCAACAGTCATTCATCCAACGATTGAGCGCATGAAGTTTCCTTTTCTCCTCTCTATCTGCTTTCTAGATTCCCCCATCCATTTTCCATATTTACGTTTTGACGCGACGAGGTGACGTCTGTCCTCATGTCGCCCTGTGACTTCGATCTTCTATACCATCTACATCATCCCATCCAAGCATCCCGATCCCGATACCATACTTGCCCAACTTGAACCCCAAGAATAGTGCTGGATCAAACTCTCGGGGGCAAATCAGAAAGAACAAAAAGAATTCACCTGATTTTCAAAAGTTCCGAGTATATAGCTTGCTTCTTGCTTTTCATTGATCTCTTTTGCTCATGGTGCATTCGCATTGTGGTGTTCATTTGTATCCCCCGACAACCACTCCACGGCGTATCCTTTTTATCTGCCCCCCCTCTCTCTTGTCGGCTTTATAGGATAAGACCGAAATGGGCTTATTTTTCTCGTGTCTTGTGTTGAATCTCTTTCAACTTTAATGGTGTGAACTGGAGTAGGTAGATCATGAAATGAAGTGGTAGAGTTGCCTCAATAAGGTCAACAGAGTATTGACTACAAGAAGCTTAGAATGGTTTGCTACGTACAATATAGTAATCTGATCTGTTTCCAACCTTGAAGACAAGTCACTATTCGGTCATATCCGCTACAATCCTGCTACTCCCCACGATGTGACCCTTCTTTTGGTTCTACCTACTACCCTGGGGGCCAAAAAGTATGATATACTCAGAAAATGTGCTGCCTATTAAGAAATGTAACCCTAGGGTAAGCCACAATATAAACGGATGGCGATCTAGGGCCAGTCTCTTGTTATACAAGGCAGACATATCCACGAGGCTAGTAGCTCTATGCTGTATCTGAGACGCAGGATCTGAGGGATTTTCCGCTAGACGTCAATCACCTTCCGATTTATTATGTACTCCACACTCCGTACAAGCATCTGCATTAGGAGCAGAATTTGATTCTGGACTGGCTTTTGTATTAGTATAGTGCACATGACTATATTTGTGGTTTACCACATCAAAACTTGAATACCTGAGACTTGAGAAGTGCAGGTGGAGTCGGCATTAATCTTGCATCCTTGTGTGAAGAATTCTTTAGGGTTAGCGATTGAACAACCCCAATTGTTTGGTATAATTAGAGATTGACTAAAGTTCTCGACAGATGGGACGACCGAAGAGATAGATTTGTAAATCTAGGGCTACCTATAACGTAATATAGAGTAGAAAATCGCTTGAGAAGTTGCATAGTTATCCATTCCATGCATGCCCTATCCCAAGCCCAATATCTCATGCAGCTAGCAAAAATCCCTCAAAAACAGCTTCGAAGTTGGTAAACTGATTTATATCCCTGTCTAGACCCACTGGGTGCCATTTTTCTCATCTGTTATTCATCTCCCCTTCATTCAAGAGATCTAAACTCCCAAACCCGTCAGTATAAAAACGACAGAGACTTCCGGTTTCAAATATTCAAGCAATGCCTACTTTGGTTGATCGCATACTCGAAATAGCTCGTTTCTGTTGCCTATCTGGTCTCATTATTTTCAACGGCCTCTACTGCTATGTTGTTTCCGAAGAGTGTGCTGATCACAGCACTTTGCTATCTTTCAACTTCATCGCAGGCCTCTACCTTGCCTTCATCTATCCAAGGGCAGCCAGTGCCAGACAAGTGGTTCCAAATCTCTCTCAATGAGAGCACTTCTGGGAATACCAGCCTCAGTACAAGGGACATCGACAATGCTCTTGTGGAACGAACTCCTATCCAGGTCTGCGAGCGTATCATTACCGCGACCGCTGCCTGCACTGTGATCGCAGGTTATGTGATTTCATTTTGCAAGTCGATGGGAGCCACAATCAAGGAGCTCTCCAATCAGGGCAACTGCAATCTCATGCGTGGCAGCTATCAGAACCTCAGATGGACATACCAATCTTCCGGCCGAAACTGCGATACTACAGCACAGCAGGCAACCATTTCTGGCGCCATCAAGAAATACATGACCAACGTGGAACACAACAAAATCTGCGGCACTTGCCTTTCTTCCTTGTGTTTCTTCCATGGAACTTCTGTCATGTTTGAGCTATGGAAAATACTGTGATGCTTAGGCCTCATGTGATAGTATTCCCTGCCAGCTTCGCGATATTTGTCTCTAGTTATACATCCCTGGTTATATATTGAAAATCCGGCTGCACATTCTAAGCCTTTTCCCGCTTTGTTTCGCCATCTAGTTATGAAACCGAGAAAGGAGAGAAAATGCCAAGAGACATCAAAGACCACCAAAAAGACACGATAAGGCCGCTTATGCCGCCGACTACCCTTGTAGTTTCCACAAGATAGAAGGTTTCTTCCTCTTTCAAGTGCCCTATAGTTATCGGGAAAACTCCGTACAATCACTCGTGCTCTTGGCAGTGTGTACCTTATTAATCATTGGGATAAAAATAGCATCAGTTATCGTGCTAGTGGTTGTCAAAAACTGTCTAAATCTTCTTTAGCCTTCCAACATTCACATCCATCAAAGTCTTCGAATACATTGACGTTTCATGGCTCAGAATTGCTTGACCGGCGCTTGCCTCTGCAAGAACATAGCATACCGTATTATGTTGCCCGCGTCAGAATCACCCCCTAAGGTATAGATTATCTCCAACTTGCCCAATCAGCAAATCCCATTCGCTTACTGACAATCTCGCTAGGTGATCATCTGTCACTGCACCAATTGCAAACGCTATACGGGCTCCAGCTTCTCTGCCAATATCATCGTGCCACAATCTAGTTTGCAGTACATCAAGGGGTCACCCAAGTTATATTCGGATCGTAGCAACAAGGACACGCAGGTATTGCGCGAGTTCTGCCCTGATTGCGGTACGCCATTCACATCACGATCAAGCGATGATCAAGAAGTCATTGCGGTGAAGTCGGGGACACTCGATGAAGAACACCGACTTAACTGTGCGAAGTTGGAAATGGAAATCTACTACCATCGAAAGGATAAATGGGTGGACGATATGGGGAATGAGGATGTTCAGAGGATCAATGGTAGCATGGGCGAACCTCTTGAATAGCCATCAGAACAACCACTCCAATAACTGCTTTAACAACTACTTCAACAACTTCAACAACTAATTTAACAACTGCTCCAAAAACTGCTCTATCATTATGAAGGGATTGCAAGTTCCAACATATAAATAGGTATGACATGAAATACACTTTTTTTTCTGAGTATGTAAAGTGTCACGATCTACGATAGATCGCTATCATACGCTTCATGTTTGCTTGCTTGCTCGTTTGCTTGCTCACTTACTGTTGGTATGCACTCTTCTCTCTTTGTAAACATGGTCATTTAACGCGCGAGCCTGGCTGATTGGGGTAGTATAAATACCCATCCTGCCCCACCCCTAGGCTTCTTCTGTCATCAGCCCTCATTCGAAATATAGCTACGAGTCTGCGATAAGTGTCGATCCAAACTCCGTATACCAATTCTTGGCCTACCAGAAAAAGTGGGCTGGGGCTTCTGATACGTCCATCACTACGGACAGCCACACGTGGTGGTTTATTCATCTTCATTGCGGTATAAAGGTATGAAATGGAAATTTATAAGAATCTTGGGATTTACTGCTAATTTTGCGAGTCAACCTATCCTATATATAGTGAGTGCGGTTCCAGTGTCGAGCTAAACTCCGGACGTGAAGTTCGACGAGTCTTGAGTCTTGATACCGACAATCTCGATGAGACAGCTGGCGACGAAAGCAACAGTGCGCAAGGCTTTGAGCAACGACTCCACTTCAATTATCTCACAGGTGAACTTCTCGTGGATAGAAATCCTCCAGGGAGGTTGCCAGCTCGCTTTGCGAACAATCCTCTCTACCAACGCCTCTTCGGAGCGGTAATTCTACCTAAAATCTTCATAATATTTAGAAGGTCAATATCAATATAGGTTCAGATGACAGCGCCAATGCACTTGAAGCCATCAATGCAAGGATTCATGTTCATAGGGTCATCGGGCCCGGTTATCCCGTCCCGGCGCCATTTACAACAATTATTTTCACTGGGCAAAATACCTTTGCCAGGATGATGTGAAATGCATAGAGGTTGATCAGTCAGGTTACCGCTATCCTATTCTACGATTTCTGAAACCCGATGCTATTAGACGACTAGTTGGTTATACGGTACCACAAAGAACCCGTGGGCCAGTTTAAACATACGAGGAACAAAATACAGAGCTAAGACGTGGGATGAAGGAACAGGAGAATACTATCCATAACCTTATACTCTCAAGTCGATCTCTAAAAATGGGATTCCCGGTTTACCATTCACCCAATGGACTCCATGGGTCAAGAGATGTGTGATGAGGTTCATCGAACATTCTGAACTTAGCAAAGAGGGTGAATCCTTCACGACGGGGGTATCTTTATAACCAATATTCTCCTTCGTCGGAGAAGGATGACTACGAAGGGACATAGCGCGCAGGGTCGTTTTCACCAGATTGGGGCCTTGATGCCTAGATTCTGGCGTTATTTTAAACCGCTTGTAGGCATCCATCTACAGTGTATTGTAAATGATGCCGGGATCAACCAGGCCCGATGATTCCATGATCATGAAGCATTTGGCACCATGCAAATTTAATTATCTCAACTTTTCAGTCGTTTACTAGCTCTCTCCGTCATGTAACTAATATGTGATAGCTTAAATAATTGCGTTCTGGCGATTGGGTTCTGATCGAACGTCGGGGATTGTTGTACCTCTCGCTTTAAATGAGTAAGAGTAGGACTGATGACTCGAATATCCATGTTTGTTTACCCAGTTTCTGCTATACTGAACAATGAACAATGAACAATAACCTGTATTACATTATCATTGAGTTTTAATATAGACGGAGCAACCATCTCCAGTCTATAGTTAGCTCCTTATTCAGTGTAAATAGTGAGTTATCCTTACTCTTCTGCCAGGCCAAATTCGGGCATTAAGGCCTCAATCGGCAAAACGACCCCTGCGCGCAGTAAGATAGAGGAAGGAAGAAGAAGCAGCTGGCCGCTCTGCAAATGGTAAACAGCAAATAAGCATCATGATGATCCATAGATAATTGTGTACTTAGCCCGATTAGACGCCGATAACAAATTAGGATCGGAACTTCTATACTTAAATGATAACTTCTTTTTTAACGAAGACTATCTCCTCTTTCTCCCTTTTCTTTTACAACTTCTTGGATCTATCTCACTTAAGCCTACTTTTGATCAACGCTACCCAACTAATATGTTATAATGCCATTCGCTTCGATCCGCCAGCCATTCAAAAAGGGCTTGGTATTTTTAGCCACAAACTGGCGCCTCCACCTTAACGTCTCGCTATGGCTAATGATTATGATGCATTATCAAGATGGACAAAAAATAGCGCGCTTGGAAAGAAATGCTGTTATGTCCGAGGAAACCAACACCGACTAGAAGCCACTTTGGAGAGTTGGTCAGAGGACACCGATGAGGATAGCTAAGGTGGCTTGGATGGAGGATCTGGTGGTTTTCTTTATAAAGACTTTCGGTTTCGTCGAATAGCATTGAGGGCGGGGAAATAATATGCTTTACGAACTACGTATGAATTAACAGCCTGTCGATAATGGGGTTGTCCTAGCCGACTCTCACAAGATCCAGTTCTCTCCATACTTCGGGGCTCAAGGGCGCATGTTCATTTTAGGTGTTGCTGCAGTTGAACAAAGAATACACTGAATTGAATAGGAGAATCTTCTAGAACAACATAAAATTTGAATGATCCCTTCTCGGATTCTATCATTTATTTTGCCAAGAGAATGAAGCGGTCTCTTGCTCCAGTCCCTCGAATAGTACATGTAAACGGTGGACCTGTGAATTACCATATCGGGTTAGTTTTGCCTCAACATGCAAAACATTCACTAGGAACTATTTTCACCTTTAATATGCACATAAACGATAGGGACTAACACTACCGTCAACAGCTGTTGACTTCCTATTTACTCAACGTTTTTCGAGTTTGTCGTATGTAATAGTCAACACACGTACAGGATCATCCAACCTACCTAATTTCCACAATAACATTTCTCGAAGGGCATCCGTTTCCTCACTCTACTATGACGAGAGCTCAGATACGTTGAATCGGCCTCTAACGCCATCGAGAATAAGCGGCCTCTCAATTCTTCAACGCCGCCGCACTTAATTACGTTTGCCTGTCTTGTTCTGGTCTAAACTCAGGCTTTTTTTCTGATCAACCTACGATATGCTGGGTTAGGGAGCTACATTTATCGCTCCTAGGATCATGCTCACGGCCTCTGGGAGCTCAATGTCCTCCGGGAACTGTTGTGACGGGTCGTGGAAGCGAGACAGATTGTTCCTGGGCTCTCTACCTTGGATCCTGGAGCCACGCCCGTCCGTTCACGAGAGCGTTAATTACTTCGGGGAGCAATTGTTTTGCTGCCCGCAATTATTGCCTGCGTTTCAGATCCCACTTATTATCTCGAAGACCCACGTTCCTAGGATCATATCCGGCCCTAGGATCCATAGCATGGCTCCTAGGCACACTCTTGGTCGCTCCCAGGAGTCAGACTCATAGTTCCCAGATGACCTACAGCTCCTGGGAGTGAACTGGACAGCCCTGGGAACTAGAGTGTGTCCCCTGCCAGGTTTGCCTAGCGGCCGCCACAGCTCCAGCTCACGCTCTAGTTTTAAAACGGAGATGACGGTAGGAACAATATGGCCGGAAGCAGACGGAAATTGCCAACACAAGGTTTTTATGCGGCCGAACAACTCCAATGTAGGCATATGCACGTATCTATGTATATATCTACTGTACAGTTATGCAGTTGCGCATTCGGTTGTAAAACCAGGAATAAAGAGAGAGAGAGAAAATAAAGGGAACCAATTTGAACATGTGTGATACAAGAAAAGGTACCCAATCAATCCTCATCATCCTCTTCCTCTTCGATCTCGTTCTCGTCGGAAATAAACATACGCTGAAAAATAGGCCGAGTGCCATCCCCGTCCTCCCCCGCCCAATTTTCCTTTTCAACGTCAGTAAGTGCAGCTAAAGTCGCACCCCGAGACTCTAATAAGTCGACCATATCCTGATCGCCCTTCATTTTAGCAGTGTAGAGTCCAGCATGTCCGTACTGTAAAACATTTAATCCTCCATCAAGAAGAAGTCTCACCATAGACTCATCCTTGTGTAGTACAGCTAGCTTCAACGCTGTTGCTTGTGGCCCTACACCATATTTGAGCAATATAGGGATAATATCCCGTCGATCATCTTTCACAGCACGATATAACGGTGAAGGGGTATACAGCTCTGGATCAGTATCAGTACCACGCTGAAGCAGTAACTTTATAAGCTCCAGATTCCCAAACTGCACCGCAGTAAAGAGGGGCGGGTAATCAACCTCCTTACTATGCCACCAGTTGCGAGTATATTGAGTACGCCTCCCACATTCAAAGTTGGCCTGTGCACCAAAGTCTAGCAAGATAGCCACAATTTTGGTATGGCCACCCTGAATTGCCACCACTAGAGCGTGCTGGATATTCACAACGCTTGGGATACTGTATCCCTGCTGGAAAAGTGGGTGGGTAAAAATATCCGTGGGGTCCCATCTTTCTCGTGTTCTCCTTAGCACAGTGTCTTCTTCTTCTTCGTACATCTTTGGAGCCTTATCTTCCGTTGCTTCTATTACTGCCAGGGATGCTTGAGGCTGGTTGCGGGCAGCATTTAGCCCGTCTAGCAAATTTTGAACTTGTAAAAAGAGGTTCCGCTCGGCGAGAAAAGAGAGCGCGGCTCCATGCCTATAGTGGGCGTGAAAGTAATACAGAAACTTGATAAGTGTTTCGTATAGATGACGATTAGTCCGGATGAAGGCGTAAATGTCCCTTTGGTGGCAAAAGCATGATGTGATGGTCCATAGGATCTCAGTGGGTAGTTGGACGAGCGCCATTACGGGAAGATGGATTCAATTTCACAAGTGCATGTATGTACAGGGGAAGTTGAAAATATGTGGAAGCGTATATGGACTTGGCTCAAGAGGCTCTAAGCCGTATGTGGTTAGCATGAAAAGCGATGTTGATTTAGTCCGCCGTCCGTGCGAAGGGGTGGTACGACATCTAACAAATCTCCATTGTGACGTGCCAGGTCTTGCAAGATGGAAGAGTGCATTGAATTCAGAATAACTAAGATAGGGGAGAAAGAAGAAGCAAGTTGCAAAGTGGGAGACAGCTATGTAGTTCTTATAGCTATGTCCTGACCGCTTTGTACCAAACCATGCAAACTTCGAACCATCTAGCTAATGCAAACAAGCAAACAAGCAACAAGCAACGTTGGATCGTAACATCCATCTCTTAACTAGTCCACGCTAGTTCGTTTTTTGACTGCAGGGGGACTTGAGGTATTATAATTTATGGAGGCATTCTAAAAACACTAAGCATTTGCCATACCTTGTTAAATTTGCTAGGAAATGAGAAGTATTACTTTGATAGGTTGATTCGGAGCATGAATCGTCGAGTTGAGGCAGTAATCGCTGCCGAAGGGTGGCATACTAAATATATATTTTGGCGATGGGGCTGGTCCGACTGTATAAGCAACGCCCTTCATGAGGTGGGAATGCTGGTATACCCTAATACTGTGCCCAAGTGCATCAACACCTGGCTCTCACTCGCCCCCAAATACACGTCCAACAGCGACGCCTCCTGCTTCTGCCCCAACAGCAAAGTTATCTCCTGCATCCAAGTCCGAGATCCAATCCACCCTCTCCTACTTCACTGGGCAGGTGGTCTCGGTCCCGTAAGTCATAACGGTGGTAGTGGCACCCTCAGGAGTGGTGGGTGTGGAGTTGGCGCCAACGCTTGATCAGACGGCACAGGTGACAGCGGGCCCCATAGGAGCAGTTGTGGCAGCGACCAGAGGGAGCCGGGGTGCTTCCAGCAGCGATAGAGCTGAAAATGTTTGAAGTGGAGGTCAGGGTAACAGTTGAAACCGTGCTGGATGTGGTGACAAACGTCGGATCGGTACTGTGAGTGCTGTTGGAGTAGGGAAGGCACTATAGGTAACTATAACTTCGAAATCTTCTACGGCAAAGGAAATAAAACTCTAGTTAGCATGTCAATTGACTGATGATGTGAGCATTTTTGTTATGGTACACATTTGGGACCTACCAGCTCCAAAGGTGACTGGTCCCGAGAAAAAAGAAAGAAAAAACACGCCTGCATCAAGGGAAATAAGGAACGAAAAAGGAACAGTATCAACCCCGGTTTACCAGGCCTCGGTGTCGAAGTTCTCAATGCCGAAGTATGAGGCAACAACTGTACGGTCAGAGAACTTGCGACCCGCCAGCGCTTTGAGAGCGGTGGTGGCGGATTCAGCGGTATCGTATTTAATGAAGATTTTACCAGCGCCGTGTCCACGGCGGGGGATCTTCATCCCGAGAATCTTTCCGAACTTGGCGCATTCCTCGCTCACATCCTCCATGATTTCTTCGTAATCTTCGTCATTGAGGAGCTCGTCAAGCGTGACCATGTTGAGAAGCTGCAGGACCTGGGTGGTCTCTAGATCCTGGGAGGTCGTCTTGGCGAACATCTGCATGGCATTCACGCCCATGTCGAGGCCAGAGGCTTGTGTGGTTCCAACGCTGGCGAGAGCAAACTTAAGGTGGTGATCGACTAGTTCCATGCCGTTCAAACCTTCAACGGCAAGCGCAGTGTTGTTCGGGTCGACGTATTCATAAAAGGCAATTCCCTGGAAAAGTTAGAAAGAATTTGACGGTAGGGAAATACTCAACTTACCCGAGACTCCTCTGTAGCAGCATCCTTGACCAAGACAAATGACTTAAGGTCGCCGAATGACTTGAGCAACATGATAATAGCTTCCTCGTTGATGTAGGTGGGAATATTAGAGATGCAGATCTTGTTGGGTGAGTCAGGCACCTCGCTCAGAACGACGTCCGGCTGTACTGGCTGCGATGCGCTCCCGTCGGGAACAATGTAGTCCTTTGGCCGTCGCACTTCAAGTCCCTTGTCTCCACTCTCCGCCATGGTAATTCCATCGAAAGCCAATGCGACTGTGGCGTCATTTGGATCCTTGAACTCCAGGAGCGCGAATGTTTTATCTTCAGAAACTTGGGCAGAGATGCAGGGATCGACATTGTGAATAACATTGAGTCCATTCAATTGAAGATTGAAGAAGGTAATAACGGCATCGCCCGAGACACCGGACGGGATGTTGTAAACGAAAAGACGCTTTGATTGACGAGAGTTGGAAGGCTTGAGGGCAGCATTGTCGCTATCGCCAGTGGGAGGGTTCAGGAAGTCCTTCATGCGGCTGGGGTCCATCGGCTGCTGACGAGGAGCTCCGGGAAGAGGGAACATCCCTGTTGATGTTAGACAGTTCCACTAGCTCATAAGCTTTAAACACATACCTGAGATCTTTGCCTGTTCAGCCGTAACATTCTCATAACCAGGAGGCTTCATGTCCCATTGAGTCAAACGACGTTTACGGGTCAACACCGAGGGCACATCTGTCAAATCGGGGGTAGGCTCCTTGCGCCGCGGGGGCGTGGCGCTTCGCTTGCGGTCTCTTCTCTCACGGTCTCCACGGTCACCACGATCACCGCCACCACGTCCACCGCGTCGGTCGTCAAACAAGTCGCGACGGGGTCTTTCGTCAAAGTCACGTCGACGACCACCACCGCGATCTCCACCACCACGGTCACCACCCCCACGATCTCCACCACCACGGTCACCACCCCCACGCTCAGCGCGGTCACCTCGCTCGGCACGGTCGCCACGGTCCCACTCTCGATCATCACGGCGGCCAGAGTAGCGGTCTTCGCGCTCACGGGCACGGTAGTCACGGCTGGTTGAGTACGAGTTCACTTCGCGCTCCCGACGAGATCCATGATGAGGCGAACGCGAACGGCGTCGTTCACCGCGATCACTCCTATCGCCCCGTTCAGCTCCACGCTCGGTTCCTCGTTCGGCGCCACGCTCAGCACCTCGGTCGGCAGGTCGCTCAGCTCCACGTTCGGGTCTGTCACCCCGGTCTCGATCACGCCGCTCGTCGCGCTAGAATTGGGGTTAATCGCCGCGGTTGCGACCAAAGATTGGCTGATACTTACGAAGTAGTCGCGGGAACGTCCAGTCTCTTGGGGATATTAGCAGTTATACCAGAAGTTATTGTAAGGATACTTACCCCTGGATGAGTAGGTGTCACCGTTCATGTTGAGGTTGGTTGAGGAAATAAATGAAGCTGTCGCCAGTGAAGGGGAAAACTCATGACCCAGAGCTGCAGGCGGTGATGGCCTCACCGCCCGTGTGTCGATTCAGATTCCGGCAGAAAATACAAACATGGAGACAGCGACTCCGCCGTCTCGAATCAGTAATTTGGATTTCAAACATGTCTCTAGGTGTTTTGTCAGAATGGCAGAAGCTGCCTTTGAGCTTGAGTGAGCTTTGCATCAATACTACGCTCAGATGCGGCCAGTCTTTTAGGTTTGTCAGCCAAGTTTCCGGGTCCGGGGATTGTAGATCAAGCGACTGACCCTTTTTAGATGGCGGAACTTTCCAGAGAGTCAGGAATGGCGATGCGTTCTCTATGGCCATCTTCTGTCGCTGAAGCAAGACTCAAACTTCTTGTACTATAGATCTGTGCAACCTCCTTCCCATGCATTCACCGACAATGATCATCTCATCCGCATTATCAAACATTACTTCAACCTAACGCCAAATTTGACTGAACTCTACTCTCAATGGTCATCACAAGACCCCAATTTCAAGAAGAAGGCTGCGCAATTCACCGGGATCAGGATCCTTCGACAAGATGCGTGGGAAGCATTGGTATCATTTATCTGCAGCAGCAACAATAATATTGCACGGATCTCACAAATGGTGGAGAAGTTATGCATACATTATGGAAAGCCCGTGGCCACAATTGAAGGGCGTGCATATCATGATTTTCCTCCCCCAGGCGCATTGACTGGCAAGGATGTGGAAAGCAATCTGCGCAATTTAGGATTTGGATACCGGGCTAAATACATATACCAAACTGCGGTTATGGTATCCAACCGAGAGCAGGGCTGGCTAGATAGCTTGAGCAACCCCGAGTGTCCAGCATTTGGCGTGGATCCTAAACCAAGCGGCGAAATGAAACCAGAAGGGCGAGAGGGATATCGTGAAGCTCATGAAAAGCTTCTTGAGCTACAGGGAGTTGGGCCAAAAGTGTCAGACTGTGTCAGTTTGATGGGATTAGGCTGGGGAGAGTCCGTGCCGGTTGATACTCATGGTGAGTTCTTTTGATAATGTTTCTGATTTATCTCTAATCCTTTACGATAGTGTGGCAAATCGCACAGCGAGATTACCGTTTTGGAAAAAGCTCCAATAAGAACTTGAACAAGACGACTTATGATGCTGTTGCCAATCATTTCCGCAAGCTTTGGGGTAAGGAAGCTGGATGGGCCCATAGTGTGCTTTTCACTGCGGACCTGCGGACCTTTGCAGACAAACTTGCTGCAACTAAGAAAGTTGAGGTGAAGGTGAAAGACGAAGAGTCTGATGTCAAGGTTGAGACAAAAGTGACAACTGCTCTCTCTTTGAAAGTTTTTAAGGAGGAAAACGTCGATGTGAAAGTCAAGGTCGAAGACATAGATGATGCCAAGAAGCCCAGGGACAAGAAGAGAAAGGAGACTGAGAACATTATTCCTGTTGTTCAAACAACAGAGACACGGAGAATGTCCAAGAGACTAAAGCGTTGAAGCCACTAAAGACAAGGAAAGGACTATTCTTGACTACTACTTTTACCGCAGAAAATATCTATACATCTTAATAATGAATATGCCAGACGCAAAAATGTACGATGAGACACGAGTCTAGTGCAATTAACATGGGTATTTGTATTCAATAATCTTAGCTATATCAATGATCAATGCCTACAACCGTAGTTAGTATAACGGTCGAACAACTCTTAACACAAGTCTTGAAGTTGGAAGAGGTAGATCAGAAGTCCAGGTAGATCATCGAGCTAGCATCCGAAAACACTAGCTCTGACATAAGAGGTACCAGAAAATAAAGTATAACAAATGCGTTGTATCATCATGTGGGAATATTGGAGATTGAGCAAGAAGAGGTTGAACTGACCTGATATAAGAGTGGCGAGAGGCGTGTCGAGTGTATATCGTACAGCTCGCACTCAAGTTGAACCAGAAACCATTAATTCCAGTCGACTCAAGTGCAGAACTGAGTTTGTCGGTTGTTGGTGTTCGAACAAAATCGGAAGAGAAACGAAGTGAGGTTTTGTCGAAGAAAAGAAATAAGCGAAGTCTATCACGTGACCCCACACAGGCCCCATCTTTCCCGCCCACTCTCACTCTCACACTTCTCGATTTTCGATCTTTCATCCACGCCGACAACCGACCAGATTTCCTCCGCCGGACACATCACCAATCCAAAATGGGTCGTCTTCACAGCAAGGGCAAGGGCATTGCCTCCTCCGCCATCCCCTACTCCCGCACCCCCCGGCGTGGCTCAAGACCACCCCCGACCAGGTTGTCGACCACATTTGCAAGCTGGCCAAGAAGGGTGCCACCCCTTCCCAGATCGGTGTTGTCCTCCGTGACTCCCACGGCATTGCCCAGGTCAAGATTGTTACTGGTATGAAAACTCAGAAAAACGCGACCCTAGGAATTGGAGGATTGAAAATTTCTAACATTTTCGCGCAGGTAACAAGATCCTCCGTATCTTGAAGTCCAGCGGTACGACTCCCTCCGCCCGCATATTCACATCTGTCGGGTGAAGAGAGCGAACAATTTGTGTGGATAAACTTTCTGGTTCGGTGAAAGAACCCGTTGGTTTCGAAGCGCAAAATGCTCGTCTCTCTCCCCGAGACTGGTCGCAGAAATGCACCAGCAATTAAGCCTCTGCTTGGTCAAGAACATCTAGACTGACAGAGAGATTTTGGAATACAGGCCTCGCTCCCGAACTCCCCGAGGACCTTTACTTCCTGATCAAGAAGGTAAAAAAAATTACTCGTTTTTTTCCCCCCTTATATCCATGTAGATTATGCTAACCTTGAATTATCTAGGCCGTTGCTGTCCGCAAGCACCTTGACCGTAACCGCAAGGACAAGGACTCCAAGTTCCGCCTGATTCTGATCGAGTCCCGCATCCACCGTCTGTCTCGTTACTACAAGACCGTCGGTGTCCTGCCCCCCACCTGGCGCTACGAGAGCGCCACTGCCTCCACCCTTGTCGCATAAGCGCATTTTGGGAGGATGAGTGGTTGACGGAGGAAACCCATCGGATCGTCGTGATCGTCATATCTGGAGGGTCTATCTTCTGCTAGGTACAACAAAAAAGATTACGATTATTTGATACCCTGTTCATGAATGCTCTAGACTCCTTTGATAATTGTAGGTTCGGCTAGTAGGTTAGATCTAGGTAATTTTGTTGCATAAGTTATCACTCGTCCGCCAACACAAGGTAGTTCAGTATAACATACTAGTATCTACTATTTGACCCATGTGGTTATACACATTGTATGACTCTAAGTAGACACATATCCAAGTGTATATATAGGTGTTCTCACAACTCACACTCAGCAGCTCTAACCTCCCTCGCTACAGCATTGCAAAGCTCAACTTTAACACCAGCTCCTAACAAGATATGGATCCAAAGGCGCTGAGTATCACTCAGCCGATCATTCTCCGACTTAACCTCAGCGAACATCACCGTCCTCGTCTCATGATTCCAGAGGAACAAGTCCGGGATTCCCCCACCGCGCTGCTGGTACTCCTGCGCCATAACCTTGCAGATAGTAGCAAGTGCCTCTCCCCGGAAACATTGCACGATCTCAACTAAGTCATCTAGATCAAAAGACCAGTCAAGCCCAACAGCGCAGGGCTGCGCCTCCGCCTCACGAGCATAGACCTCACGGACGATCCGCTCCGCATCCCCATTCGTGATCTCGACAAGTCGGTGATTGATCTCCGATGCACGAGACGGGTAGAAGACATCAGTGTGGAGATCGAGCGGACACGTCTGGAACGCAGTTTGGAAAACATTGGGCACGTATGTAAACAGGATATCGTAAAAGAGATAGCCGAACTGTGATCAAGATCAGATTAAAAGCTCAATCTTCCGGATATTCCAGACTCACCAGCGTTCGCACAATCCCCCCTTCGGAGTGATACCCCTTCCATCCATGATCGCGGTACCAACTCAGACACATATTCTCCACCCTGCACTCGCCGCCTTCCCTCTCATCAATCCAAACAGTCGCTTTCCCCTTTCGCGGAGCATCACCCGTATCAATACGGATACCCTCAATCGTGCGCTCAGCCGGCTTGCCTAGCATGACATGTCCGAAATCATGCTGCTCGCGCTTTACCACCCGTAGCGCCTTTTCCAGCTTCGTGATCCGCTTCTGTAGGTCGTAATGAAATATCAGATGGCACAGCGGGTCTTCCAGTCCGGCCTCGCACGTCCGCAGCGCAAGTCTCTTCCAATGCTTGCGCTGGAGTTCTTCGCTGCGCCCATCTGCAGGCGTAAGCGCCCACATGTAGTGTTCTTCCAGCAGTGCCTTGCGCTGGTACCAAGCGCCGCGCCGCGCAGCGTGGAAGAGACGTTGGGCGAGAAGTTCCTCTAGCAACTCGTGCTCGCGTCTATGCTCCTTGAACCGCCCGAGCGCGTGGAGACTCTTGTGGATGATTCTTGTGAGCACCCATGCTGGCGAGAACCGGCGTAGATAAGCGCCCTCGCCGCTTTCGTACATGTTGTCTTCTTTCTTTTGTTCTTGCTCGACGAGCTCTTTCCATCGGGGATAGGACTGGTTAGCAAGGTCGATGATTTGTTGGAGTGAGGCGGTCGTGACTGGGCCGTTGAATTCGAGAATGTTGTCGATGGCGAATTGGGTTTGTATCGCTGATTCAAATTCCAATAGCGCTTCTCTGGACGAGAAGATGGAGTTTGAGCGGCAGACTATATATTCGGGGAAGTTTCTTTTGCTCATTTTGGCTAGGATAATTGTTGTGAGGGACTTTTCGGTCCATTCGGTGGAACGATAGAAAACCAGGTGCACTCGCTCGAAGAGAGTGCGAGGCACTGGCGAGATCCTGATACATCCACCCGTGTAGTCCAATATCTTTTGGGTGAAATGGCTGTTTCTGTTATTTGCGTCTTGAAGTCCTTTTTGCGTCTGGCTCGTTTCGCAGAGAGCCGCCAGCAGCTCTTTCTTGCTCTTGCCCTGAACCTTGGCCTCCTTTGCAAAGGCCCTGAGTTCTTGCAGCAATAGAAGTGATGAAGCCTCTTCCAGCGTTGTGATCGCTTCTATGCCTTCTGCAAATCTGAACGTATCTCCGAGTTCTGAACTAGGCAGGCTGCGATCCCGCTGTAGGTCCTCAGCAACAGGGAGCAAATCTGAGATATCGGAGCAGTAGTTCAACCGGTTGATACGGTGCCATGCAAACGTCTTGCGAAGGAACAGTCGAACATACCTGGTGAAGTATTAATCTCAACTATAGGTTATCACATTCTACAGGAAGACATACAGATACTGGGATTCGTAGGACAGCCCCCGCCACTGCGTAAAGATTTCCATTTCGGCCTCGTCAAAGAGATGCGATTCCTCATCCAGCACAGTTTCCAGTGCAAGGTTAAAGGCATCCACATAGATGGAGCTTTTGCCCTTTTGCCAGACACCATCTCGTAGCCTCACATGTAATCCCGTCTTAGTGTCGTTCTGTAGGGCCTCGTACTCCTCGATTGCGTCCTTGTCGGTCTTTATCGCAGGAAGGGAAGACTCGAGTTCTGTTTGGCCGCTAGGAACAATCCCTAAATTGTCCGCTGCGGGGGTCTCCCCCGCCGTGGCCGAAGGACTCGGACTCGGTGGTTTAATCTCTGCGTCTGTACTAGAATACTCCGTTTCAACAGTTCGCCGACGTTTCGCGGGACGCTGCGTCTCCCAGAAGTTCAGCAAGGACATAATATCTCGTTTCCATGGATGAAATCAGTCCCAGTGACTCGAGTCTCCGAGTATAAGCAGACACGAACGACGTGTCTCGCGAGCAGGTTTCGAACACGTGATCACGTGATCCATATAGCTCCATCAGATTGTTTGTCCTGTTTGCGTATGACATAGACACAAGAGGCACAGCCAAACGCATAAGAAAGGTAACCAAACAAAGACGATCTGAAAGGGGAGAAGAAGAAATGCCCTCTGAAATCATTCGAAAAGTCCCCAAGTGCAACCTCTAGATATAAAAATGGCCTTACCAGTAAGCAGCTCTCCCTCTCTCACAACGGATCGATACCTCCGAGCTCCACAGCTTCCGCTCCGCGAACATTCGCATTCCACTTCTTCCCAAAATATACACCTTCCAGGTACTCAATTAACCTGTGCAGCCTCCCACCCTCGCGATCTCAGATCCACCGGCCTCCTCAGCTCCTACAGTCACCACAGCGCAACCCACATCCATAATGGGCGAAACAAACGGCACTGGCTCCAACACGCCGCTTGGCGATTTGGGCTATATCTCTGCGGGTCAGATTCGCCCCGGTGGCGCGCCTGCTCGCGTCTATCTGAATGAGAAGGTCGTGCCGTATCTGCTTGATGGGATGAAGTCTGTTGCACGCGAACAGTGAGTGGAGTACTGTGCCTGGCTAGCTTTTTTATACTTGTCTGCTAGATGGATTTACTGATCTCCTTGTCTTTCTCTTTTCTGCACTAGGCCTGCCAATCCTCTCCGTGTGCTCGGCGAGTTCTTGCTTCAGAAGAGCAATGAAGTGGAGGGCGAGACTAAGAAGGAGTCGGAGTAGAGAGGAGAGGGGTTGGGATTTCTTTGGGCGTTTAATGGTGCTTGACCAGCTATTCTGGTATTGTTTTTATTTGGTTTTGAAAGCTTGTGAGTGGACTTTAATGTACACTACGATGTTCACCACTTGATACCCCGGTCAATGTCTATACCTGTCCTGTTAGTAGGAAGGATCAATAGCAGAAAACAAGATAGAGAGAATGATATCTCGAAAAGCGAGGTGGTAATTATCTGGTATAATAGATCGAGGATCTACCTACCTATGAAAGTACGGAGTAGAGTATTATCAAATAGGCATTTTGCAAAAATTGAGCTTTTTACCGCATGAATTCTACATCTTGCAGTCCTTTGATATAATGCTAAGAAGGGCGAAGAACATCTAAAAACATATCTAGAAGGTATTATAATGTACTCAACTTCTGCGTCGTCAAAGACATAGGCCACATGATTGTACTTCTAAAGGATATATAGACACCGGAGTACGGCTTATGGGACCATCGAATCATGAGAGCCAAAATATATATTCAAGTTTGGAAGCTTCATAGAGATTCCTAAATGGAGTAAGTACAAGGTTGTTCTATATCCCGACCAAATACTCGGGGAAGAACAAAATATTCGAAAATAAAAGCTTCGAATAAAGCCTAGATAGGTCAGCTTGCAAAACACATCTCACCTTTAATGGCATTCCAAATCGATTAATGCCTGGAGTTTAAAGGTTGAGACTACAAGCGCAAAGTCGACGGCTTTGAATTGGGCGAATGGTTGATCATTCAGTTGTTTAGAGAAGTCGAATACAATCGGGCCGTTACTGGAGATGGTGTATAGGTGAAGTTGTAGCTGTAGCTGTGTGACGAATTTGCTGACCCTGAGATAACCGAATTACAGCGATAATTTTCTGTCCCTTTGCCGCTAGAAGTTTTTTTCCCCGAAGTTGCGTCGCAAACAGACATGAAAGAGACACCTCATCAAGCGACCGAAGTGTGCATCGATGAAGTTGCCGAGTCGTGGCGCTCCGTGGTTTTTTCTTTTTTAAATCGTCGAGCCGAGAATTGACAAACAAAGACAGCGACGCCCCGTGGCCCGTCGCCCAAATCCAGCATTAAAACAATCCCATAAACAAAGAAAAGGGGGGAGGAAGTGGGCAAGTTGGTGAAACATGGGAACCAGGAACCAGGAGACATCAAAGGCCAGTCTCTGTTCTGGTTAGAAAATAAGGGGAGGCACTTTACCTGCCAGCGTACCGGTCCTCGCCGGCACCGCCGCCGCTGCCACCACCGCCGCCAGGAGCACCACCAGTGCTGCTGCGTGCCTGACCTTCGTAGGAACGTCCACCACCACCAGCGTAGGGGTCGCGAGCCTCACGGGGAGGGGCAGCAGCATCGAAGCTAGGAGGGTTGGCATCACGATCGTAGTAGCCAGCGCCGCCGCCACCACTGCCGCGAGATTCCTCAGCACCTCCGCGACGTTCATCGCGGCTGTAACGGTCATCACGGCCACCGCCGTAGCGGTCACCACCACCACGGTATGCGTAGTCGTCGCGCGATTCACGGCGACCACCATACTCACGGCCACCACCACCGCCGCCACCAGCGTAGTCACGGCGGCCATAGTCACGTCCGTAGTCACGGCCATAGTCACGGCGATCATTGTAAGAGTCGTAGCGACCGTAGCGGGAGTAGTCATCATCGCGACGACGCCAGCCGCCACCGGAGGGTCCACGGCGATCATCGTAGCGGTCACGGCGAGGACCACCTCCACGGCTACCACCACCAGGACCACCTGGGGGACCACCTGGGCCATCTAAAGAGGAAAAATGTAAGTCGACGTAAGGCGCAAGCGGAAAGGACGATGTGACTTACCACGTTTGGGAGGACCAAAGTACTTTCCAGGGGTAGGGGTACGAGGGCGTGCACGTCGAGCCTTCTCGATGCTCAGAGTACGACCTTCAATGACTTCGCCCTGGAGACCCTCCTTGGCGGCATCAGCCTGCTCGGCGGTGACCATGTTCACGAAACCGAATCCACGGGACTCCTTGGTGTGGGGATCAAGCATGATAGAACAGTTATCGACATCACCGTACTTTTCAAACAGACGCGAAATATCAGACTCGGTCAGACGCGGGTGAATACCAGTAACAAAGAGGTTAGAGCCAGAGTTGATGGCACCTTCATCGTCTTCCTCGACAGGTTTGCGAGCCAGAGGAGCTCTGGGGTTTATTAGCTTCTAAGTGATATACCGGATTAGACAAATACATACCTGTCATCAGAACGGCCATTGGGGGAGCGGCTGCGAGCACGGTCGCGGTCGGCTCGAGGCTCATCGCGAGGAGAGGCGCTGCGCTCGCGATCATATCGGGGCTCGTCTATTGAAAAAGGGTAAATATTTTCAAGCGCATGGAAACAATTCTAAAAGACATACCCGCGTAGCGGCTGGAATCGTTGTCGTAGTCCGCCATGATGAAAGGACTGAAGGTGTAGGTTGAAAGAAGGAAGGAAAAGAAGTTGGAAAGCTGATAAGAGCGGACGCTAAGCACCGGAAACTACACACCCGAGGAATCAGGCAGCGGTGCAAACTTGCGTGGATTTCAAGTGAATTGGATGAATTGGAGGGAATTGGGAGAATAAAACTAGAGGTTTCTTTTCCCTTTTCGAAATACGAGTTTATGCAGGGGGTTATCTTGACTATGACAAACAGCTATTATGCCAAGACCGAACAAATCGCCATATTAAAGCTTGATAGTACAAATACTCATACAACTAAGACTAACTCTTGAGATTCGACGCTAAAATCAAATTCGTGAACCCTATACCCATCATGTCCAGAAGGTAATCATCGTGAGCCTCGCAGACGTAGAGTCCGACGGGTATTCTGTTGTGAAGCAGCCGGGGTGCTGGGGATCTGGCCCTTCAGGTCTCCATCATCAACCAAGTCCTTTAACCCTTCCAGTTCATCTTCATCCAATTCACTGAGTTCTTCACTCATTCCACGCATGACATCCCGTCCAGTCCACCGTTCCTCGTGAACAGTCGTACCGACAGGGTCAAATGGTTGCATGTACCATTGAATGCCACCCAAAGCCAAAGGCAGCTGCTGGTCTTGCTCGGTCAAAACAGGCGTTGGATGTCGATAGTAGGCGTTGACACTCTTTATGGGGTCTTCAGCAGGAGGTAGCTCTTCTGCCCCAGATGCTTCAGGGTGTTGTTCACCTGCAGTAGGCTGGGCTTCTGATGGAGCCTCGGTCGGAGGAAGCGTTTCCTCAACTCCTTCCATAGCATCAGGGTGACCAGACAGCTCAGTATCACCTTCCGGCTCAACAGAATCACCACTGCGTGACATCACACTGTGGTCAAGAATCATATCCAGCTCCTTCAATTCCTTCTCGAACGGTTTGCGGTTAAGTTCGCTCTCTTTCCTGATCGCATCCTCCAGGGAAGGCTGGATGACTTTGATTATCCGCTTTGCCAATTTCCTCTTCTCGCGTTGCTCCAGGCTGAGCTCCGGGGCGCGACCACTGATCTGCGCTTGGAGTTCCGCGGTATCGCCAGCGGGCTCCACGCCGATTTCTGAGGTGAAAAGACTGGCCAAGTCAGAAGAGAAGGCAGCGACGGACGGATAGAATCGTTCGTTGAGCCTTTGTCGGATTGACATCAACCCTGGTGCAAACACACCCTTTCCATCGAGCCTAGAATGAAGTCAGTATGAGCGTTGACAAACTAGGACGAGTATATCTCACAGTTGAGCTTTCTCCAATATTGGCCACAGCAATGGGAATGTAGGGAAGTAGACAAGATCGACGATGTTACGAAGCTCCTCTGCATCCTTCAACTTCTCCCTCTCCCGTTTCTTCACTTCGTCGCATAGCATTCTCAATCGATCAAGATCCTTGTAAAGTCGCTCACCAAACTCAATGCGACGCTCTAGACGTCTGTGTCCGGGTACACCCATTGCTACATAGTCTCTTCGTGTCATTTCCATAGATGAGAAGGTCTCCAGCTGCAACTGGAGTCGCTTGAGCAATGCTGCTCCACGCCTCGCCTCTCGTTTCAATGTCCAATACTTGGATGCATCTTCAGCATATTGCTTCCTTTGGCGGACTGTAAATCGCCCAAGAGAAGCAATCACTGAGTTTAACACAACCTGGGGGATAACTGGCGCACCGGAAGGCAGCTTCCAGATTGTTCTGGGAACACGTTTCCGTTTATTTCCACCGACTGTTAACGTAAGGCGAGGAGTGAGGGTGCGATCTTCTTCTGCTCCATCATTGGGGTGCGCAGGACCCATCGAGAGAGCTGCAGCTTGGCTGTCTCCCCAGCGTCTACCTTGCATAGTATTGCGATAGTATTCGATAGCATCGGCAGTTGCAGCATCAGTACCATGCTCCAATCGCCAGTCAGAAGGAACGTGCTTGTCGCAGAAAGCCTTGAGAAGGTGCGAGTCCATAAGACCATGGCCAATCTTCATCTTTAGATAAAGTTGAGCTCTGCGTGCACATGAGACATGGAAAGCAACAAAGCAGTTTTTGTTGCTGCACTGAATGGATGCACCCATCCGCTGTTTGCAGATGTAGCAATTCAACTTCCAGCGGCTGCGTGGAACCTTTTCGACATCGGTCACCGGCTCCATAAGAGATGGATTACCAATAGAAACTTCAGGAATCCAGAAAGAGCAGAGTAAATGAGCCCATTTGGAGGAGGTTGTTTGTTTGAACGCGCCCTCAGTGTTTGGGCAGAAAATACAATTGGTGGACCCTCTTCCCAGCAACTGGCACTTGCGGCAAAGCCACTGACCTTCTGGAATGAAAGGAACACCATAACACTCTTGATGCACTGCAAGGTCGCAACCATCGCAGAAAACAATTGCATTCGAGTTTTCACAATCGCCATCATCACAGATAGCACACTTGCTGTCTTGTTCTTCGCCCGGTCCAGCTGTTTCGCCATTGACTGCAGCTGCAGAGCTAGAGCGAAGACGTCCGGTCTGCGGGGGCTTGGGATTTGGCTTGGGGATGCGCTTCTCAAGGGCATGCCATTCCCTCTCAATTTTGGTCATGGTAATCTCAAACACAGCGGGCTTGATGGGCTCGAGCTGATCTTCACGGCGCTTGGCATTGTATTCCTCCAACCATTTTTCATCCTGTTCATCCATGTCATATTCCACACGTCCAATGGTAGTGTTAACGTCTCCATCTGTCATGGCAGGTTGAATCACATCAAGGTCATCTTCTTGGGTGCCTTCGGTCATCCGAATAAATCGCCGGTCATGGCGCAGAAAGAGATCACTCTCCTGGTATCCCACGTTTGCCATGGTCCGGTCGACATAGTTTTGATGACCGACGCCCTTCTTCTCATAGAATGTGAAAGGGTCACGCAGTCTGAACGACGGTTTGGGGAGTGTGAGTTTCTCCCGGGGGTTTGGGCCCGGAGGCGGTATGATTTTTTGTCCTTGCTGGGCAAGAAGGGCATTAAGGATAGCCTCGGGGCGACGAGGTGGACGGCCAGGCCTGCGTTTGATTGGGATTGGAGAGGCCATTTCGCCTGATATGATAACTGGTGATCCTGAAAGGTCCGAGATTGTCGCACCAGCCAGTGACTCCAGGCTTAAGATAGGACCTGAGGTATCTGGAGCATCAACCTCTTCAGACGTGAAGACAGCAATTTTGCCATCAATATCCAAGTCGGGATGAAACTCTTCCCACCCGCGTTCTTCGCGTGGCTTGTACCCATCGCCTTGTTGGAGAGCAAGAGCAGCGGCCGTTGAAGAGGTGAACCGACCACGGGCTTGGTTCTTGTCGCGCCTTGGACGCGACATAGAGGGCGGTGTTGTTGGTATAATGGGAGGTGGCGGTGGAGGGGCTAAAAATGGTTGCTCCATCTCATGTGATGGACGGCTTCGAGCACTTGCGGAGTGGCGGCGGGGAGTAGTTCTCTTAGAAGTTTCTGGGGCAGCGGCGGCGACGACTGCTGCTTCAGCGTCGAAATCGATGAATCTTCCTCCTCCTCCAGGGCCACCTGGAACGTACTTTCGCTTCTTTGAAGGAGGACCGTCAGGGGAATCGACGGAGCGGCTGTTGGATGATTTGAGGGAAGACCTAGGTTTACTGCGTGATGGACGACCTGAGATTGAATGTCTGGCCGTCGGTGCCATAATTCAAGAACAAGCTTTCGGGTGTGTATGTGCTCGTTGGGGATGGTGATTGTTAATCGGACGGCGTCAGGTCGCGTTCAGGGCCTGACTCAGGCAGGGCCTCGGGAAATATCAAAGTCGCAAGTATCAAGTCATGCGACGGGAAACTAGAAAAAGAAATAGACACAATGGACCTAAAGGACGCCAGAGCCCGTGGAACCTGCAAGGCGCGATGAGGTGTTTGGTTATCTAGTCAAGGCGGAGACGCCTGAGCTGTCTGGGCCTTTTGGCCTGAGGCGCCAATCTGGACTTGAAGCACCTCCGCAGGTTGACATGGGACATGACATCCACAGCTATTCTTTGCGCCCTATCTGCGATTTTACTCATTCGATCGAGCTTTAATTTTTCTTTCTTTCACATAGATTTACAACATGAGCGGTTCTAGCGACACCAGGTACGCGTTATCTACCTCAAAACACCGCGCAGTTCAGCTTCGCTAACTGTTATTGCCCTCCTCAGATGGCGGGGCGGACCCAGTCGCCAGGGGTCGCAGCGCAACTCGAACAACCGTGATAAAACAGGAGGACAGGGAAGCGCACGGGATAACAATGCTACCTGGGGCGCATCCAACCCTCCGCAGGAACAGCATGTTCCTGTACGGGGCTTCAACACCGCAGAGGTCAAGAACGTCCTGAAGGGTATGTATATGCACCTAATCTCCAAGTACAAGGGCTAACCAATCTTTCGCGATATAGCAGGACCTCATGGTACGCCTTATCGCTGCCTCCATATATACTCAAGCCTAACCTATGCGCCATCGATACAGAAACCAAGTCGGCGGTGCCCTACAAATCTCATTCTAAAGACGGCCCTACCCAACGATCTACTGCCTGGGGTGCCAAGGGTACAGTCTCTCTTTGATCGCAGCATACCCTTGAGCGAAGAATAACCATATCTACAGCACAAAACATGGCGAACGGCAGAGACTTCTTCCTGGAGCTTCGGAAACAGATTACTTCGCTGCAGCGAAGCGGTCCCCCTGTCGGCGGCTGATCACGACGTTTACAACTTCATTATCTCAAAGTACTTGCATTGCACAGTCGGTCGGCCGCGAGTTTGGTTCGTTTTCATGGGTTGCTACGGCGCATCTTCGATACCCTACTGTGGAGGATGCATGGGTGATGAGTGGGCTCGGAAGTTACATGGCATCGGCGTCTCCGATGGTTCTGGGTCTTACATGTCCATAATGCACTATGACTCCTGTTTTTCAAAATTTATTCATTACAATTCATGCGCTGCATCGAAGTCTATGGCGATGCATTATTTTACACACGCTATTATACAGAGAGGGCATGTCACTAATATACAAGCAGGTAGCCATTCAGCTACAATTTTCACACTTTGATCCAGCCCCCTGGGCCAAGGATACCTCCATCATCAGCCTGCGAGTCGAGGGTCCATGTCCGCAGAGGACGACAGCTGAGGTCGGATCGGAAGCCAGCTTCGAACATCTCAATGCCCGCCCACCCAATCATGGCCGCATTGTCGGTACACAAATATGGAGGCGGAGCAACAATCTTGATATGGCCAAAGCCGCGCACTTCCAAAAATGAAGTAAGCACTTTCATGAGGAACTGGTTAGCGGCAACGCCACCACTGACAACGAGGGTGTTGATGTCATTCTGGCCATTATTGTGTGGCCGCAGAGTCTCCAGAGCGATGACAGTGCGCGAGGCAAGGTGCTCAAAACACACGCGCATGGTTTCCCGGCCTAGATCGACACGCTCTGCATGCGATATCTTAATATTCGTACCGTTACTTTGAATGATCCTGCCGACCATGCCCGAAATCGAAGCAAAGCTGAACTGCATAAGCCGCGTATTCGCAAATGGAGTCGTAAGATACCAGCCCCAATCGCTTATGCGCTTGGCTATTTCTTCACCCCGAGACTCTGGCGGCGAGTAATCCGCAAAATCGGCCTTGCCGTTAGGGAAGACGAATTGCTCTAGATTCTTGCCGTACATGGTACTTTTAGCTTCTTGAAGCAAAGAATCAGGTAGAATATCTCGTGCAGATTTATCCAGTGCCTCTCCAATAGCTATATCGTCGCTGTTAGCGAGAATCCTATGTTCTGTGAGGCCTTCCGAATGAACCAGAGTTGTATGGCCGCCCGAGGCGAGAATGGACAAGAAAGGGAACTTGGGCGGTGCGGATGGGTCGGCCTTGAGTTCATTTTCCAGGCATGAAACGAGTCGGGGCGTCAAAAGATGTGCCTGCATGTGGTGCACTCCGACCATGGGGATCTGCCATGCAACCGACAGCGCTTTTCCAGTGTCGAGGCCAACAGACAGGTTAGACCGCATTCCGGGGCCTCTTGTGGCGGATATGAAATCGGGGAGGCGGCGACAAGTCCCGTCTGCCAATTTAAGTCCATCGACAGTTTTTGACTCCGGTAGGTAATTAAGGGCTTTCTGTAGAAGCTTTGCGAGGTTGTCTTGGTGGGATTCGAGAGCGATGATAGGATGAATTCCGCGATGCGCGCGTGTGTCGGCCATTACATTTTCGAGGAAATGGATTTTGGCCGTACTCCAGGAGTCTTTCTTTGTTTTCTCAACGATAGCTACTGATGTATCGTCACTGTTGTTGGCAACCAATAATTAGTTGAGTGACCTTCGGGTGTTCATCTCCGCTTACCATGACGTTTCAATTGCCAACGTGAGCAAGCCACGGCGGGAGGTCAAACATCTCCCTGCATTTAGCGCCGATCTGCGAAAACTCGCAGCAGGGTTCACTGAGAATAACATTGGTAAGATGCTTGACGTACGATCGGTGGCAGGGGCGAAAAAGATCGGAGGCGCACGGGCCGGAGAAGCCCTTGAATGGAGCCCTAAACAGGTACCAAAATAGCAATCTATAGTGATCGAGCTACGGAGTACGTCGCAAAGAATTCTACCTACAACAACCCAAGAGGGGTTGTTTGGGCGGAAGCGAAGTGCCGGGTATGTTTTGCTATTGGAGTCGGGCATGTAAATATAGGGCTGAGAATAGTTACTGTTGTATTTGCACTAACGAACGACTAGGTTAAACATTTATACTCAAAAATCAAAATCATCAATCCAGATCCCGTCATAACGTCATAAATATATTGTTTCTCCGAGCACTGATACATCGAGTTCCATTCAGAATGTGCGGCGTGCACCAAACCCCAGTCAGCCCAGATGAATGATACTGACGAGTTCCGGGCCAGCAAAAAGCGCGAGGCAGCATAGTCATCCACAGAACCATCTTGCGAAGGCTGAACGGATACATTAATGCTCCCTTCTGTCGTTTCAATTCGCAGTTTGAGGACGTCGATTGTCAGGAGCGCTAGATGCTGCGTAGGTTGAGGTGATCCAACAAGAGAACCGGGGTATAGGGCGTAGCATCATTGCAAGATGTAGACCCCAAATCATTCAGAAGCACCTGGTCGCTCCCATTACTCCAGCCGTGAACGGTCATTAGTGATAAAAATCTCGAATTGATCTCACTGCCGGACCGTCCATCGCCGCTCTTCTCGTGACATCTTCATGTGCTTGCCGTAATACTCGTCTGGATTCTCAATAGGCGTTACGCAGTGAACAGTCGGTGTCCCTTTGAATTGTATACGCTTATCAACAGTGCCAGCGCGAGAGGACGACTGCTTCTTGAGGATGCTCTTCGATGAACAAGAGTTTGTGTATGCATAATTCGGAACCTGCAGTGAGGAAAACCTCTTGCTCGTCGGGCTCGCCGCGGAGATTGGCGAGACAGGCGTGCGAGGAAGAGCACTTGGTGACTTGAGTGATAGCGATGGCCGAGAAACATTCTGCGCAGCAGAGATGCTCAAGGACAGCTTTGGCTTGACGACACGGGCAGTGTACATTGTGGCGGATGAAGAAGTTTAAGACAACAGTGCAGTTGATGTTATTGCGATTTGGTTTTCACGGGGAAACTTTGCTCAACAAAGATATCCGAGTAGGCAAGGAGAGAGAAACAAATTATTGACGTAGATGTATAAGGCGCTGAAGAACTTGGGCCAGCCAAGGCGAAGAGACAAAAATAGAAAAATAAGAAAATAAGAAAATCTCAAACGATACGGAGTATGCAAAACAGTCTCCTGGGGGGGAGATGAGGGCGGCTATATACACTTGAGGGGGAGAGGGGAACCAACGAGGACTGCCAACCACCTTCTTCTGCCTAAGCGCCCACTCCATGCACGACGGTGCATATATCACAATCACTATCACTATCACACCCGAGTTTCTAAACTTAGGCAAGTCTTCATTCCATGCAGCCAATTAAATTCCCCACGGGGTGCAACTCCCGTCTAATGTGATGTGATGGACGGGCTGTCCAACATGCCCTGCAGCCAACTGCACATGGTCTTCCACCCTGGTCTTCTACCCTGGTCGTCCTGTCCATTTGATTCGAAACTCTCGACCGATGATCACTCAATAGGTGAGGGATATTGCACTTACATCAAGTGGATTCCTGCATTATTCGGTGATATCCCCGCATTATCACAGTGACTGGCAGTCGCAGCGAAAGATGATTGGTTTGAATCTTGGCAGGATTGTTGTGACATGCTATAATTAGATATCACATGGGTTTGATGCCGCTATCAACTATTTTTACTCGAGATTGAGCGATGAATGATGTCCATCAATCCTTCGATATGGTAGACGCAGTTGTAACATATTGGTCACATTTCGTTGTGGCTTTTGGGGAGCCAATTGACCTCCAGTCCTTACAAGATAATGCTCATCTATGTTACATTTCTCTTGCGTGATTGTCCTAGTGACTCGATTTCCTGATTTTCAAATATAGCACGTATTTGTACGGAGTACGATGCAATGGTTGAATATGTTTTATTTATAGTGCATCTAAAACCGACGACGAGTGGTTGACATGTATACATATGGAGTACGTACTATACTTACTCGGACAACGCCAGGGGAGGAAGAGATTGGTTATGACATGAGCGACTAGCTATCCAACGTGGGCGTATGACTTGACCTGATACCAGGCGGTTAGAATGCAGGACAAGCACATGGGACAAACATATGTAGAAAGCACGTAAAGCTTGGAATAAATCACTCACTCGAGCTGCTATAAGATTAGGAAATAGCATTCTACAGGGGGCTCAGTGTTCGGACATAGCTTGTTATGAGGATGAAGCTCTGGTTTGTTCAGATCAGTTAGGATATTGAGCTGTGATGGGTTGGGATAAATGCATCCTGAGAGGAGATGGGCTTGTAGAGATATTGTAGCTCACTAAGATTATGGTTACTATAAATAACTAAACTCGAATAAAAAATGACAATGTCTTTGTTATCCAAGGTGTACTCCGTAGAAGTCTTATAAAGAACTCGGAGAAGAAAGTGGAGCGTATGAGCGACGACAATGCTACTGTATATGTACTAGATACGGAGCATGATTTACAGGGGTATCTTATTGATCCACCTTTGATAAACAAAAGAGTCCGCCATTTCTCGCAGATGTTAACCTCGGGACATCCATAAAATGAGTTTAATATGGCCAGCTGGGACTTGGAGGTTCTATATTATGACAGCCTCGGTAGCACTGCTAGATGTAAGGGCACTTGCTAGGATAACTTAGATTCCTCGCTATCTTAGATGTAATTTCGGACAGAGATATACTAACCCGCTTTCGAATTGATTGTTTGTCTCGTCTATACCGCGGATCTGCAATCTAGTATGGAGACATCGTTTAGAATCCCTCCGGCACTGCCGGCAAACCTTTAGCTGTCAATCGTTTCTGGAGCACCAAAGGCTTAAGCTCAAGAAAAGGACCCTCAAGACCGGGAGTCGCGGGTGTTATAGCTACACCGCTACACCCCCACTACTGCAATGTATGTGCTGATGATCCTGATTTATATATAGAATAACCGCTGTCCGATGAGTCCAACCCTTGCAATTGAGTTTGGTGAAAGCTGTATATGTTTAGCATGAACTATAGCAATAGCTAGAAAGCATGCTAGAAAGCATGCATTATCTGATCGATTGCGGAGAAACAGGGGATAACGGTAGTCACATCAACCGGACTCGGCTCAACTCCGGCAGGCTTGAGATGGAGAGGGGAAAAGACGAGATGAGCCAATCCAAGTGGAATTCTCCAAATTCCTTCCCCACCGAACTCCGCACCGAACTCGGAGACTTTCCTTTTCGTCTTTTCGTCTTTTCGTCTTTTCGTCTTTTCGTCTTTTCGCCTTTTCGTCCACAGACTCACCGGTTCCGAATGGGCCATGTGACAGGATCCGGTTTCTTCCTCATCTGATCCTTCGCTTTCAAAGTCGGCTGCACGTCTCGGGTAGTGTGGTCTAGATCCCGTGTGTATACCGTGGCTCATGGCGAGAAACCAAAGGGTTCTCGAACTAGAAGTACTAGTTGAGGCTAATTCAGGGACACATTTCTATACATAACATATACTATGTAGATATCGAGATATCCATAATGTGGAGATCGGTTCAAGGCGAGACTCTCCGATCCGGGTAAATAACACGCCATAATGAGAAACCCCGAGGGATCAAAAAAAATAAAATAAAATTCAAAAAAATTCGAAAAAAAATCCCCAAAAAAAATTCAACGTGGCCACGACAACGAAAAGGTATTGTTATTAGAGAATTAAAATATCAAATCTATCTAGATTACGAATAGTCACTCAAATATTATAAGAAACAATAAGCCTGGAAACTTTCCAGAGTGGGCTCCTTATATTAGAGTATCATAACTTTTTCTATTGACTCAGTCCTCCCTCTTCTCCACATCCCTCGCTCCCTTCCTTCCCCCAGTTTTTCTCTTTGTGCGGCCGATTTTTTTTTTGTTTAGAACTCAAAATCAACTTGGATATACACAATGGCCAGCGTAACAGAAGCTGTGAAGGAATCGTTCCTGGGCCACACGGAGGGGCCTCATCTGTCCTTCCAGGCGCGCTCAAACTTTCTCCGCCATGCGCAAAAGGACGAGAATGGTGACCTCTTCATGGATGAGGAGAACTTCATCGATGCCGTGGCACCGAAGCAGGAAGACTATGTAAGTGTCACCAGGGACTGCAAAGGTACTGCAAAGGTACCAAAATCTTCGCAATTGCTCATCTGGTTTCCTCCCGCGGTAGCACAAGATTAAGCGCGAACAATATGGCATCCTTTTCAACGTCGCAGACCGACGGAGAGCCGGTAGGCTGAACATTACCGACTGGGCCTCCTTCGAAAACCTCCTCGCGAAGCCCGATGCCGAGTACGAGATCGCCTTTCGTCTCTTCGACTTCGATGGGTCCGGCACTGTCAACTTCGACACGGTGCAGGGACTGTACAACCTGAACAAGAGTCCGGACAGCATTCCCTTCAACTGGAGCTCGGAGTGGGCATCGCTGTACGGAGGCCGCTCAAAGTCTCGCCATGAGATGACCTACCCCCAATTCGCCCAGATGCTGCGCGGTCTGCAGGGTGAGCGCATCCGCCAAGCTTTCCACATCTTCGACAAGGATGGGGATGGCTTTATCCAGCCCGAGGAATTCCAGCGTATCATCCTCGAGACCTCAAAACACAAACTCTCCGACTACGTCCTGGAGAACCTCCCCACCCTGTGCAATATCTCGACGAGCAACCGCATCTCTTACGCCAATGTCCGTGCTTTCCAGAATGTCATTCGCGAGATGGATATCATTGATTTGGTTGTCCGCGAAGCAATAGAGAAGAGCTCCGATGGCAAGATCACCCGTACCGACTTCCTGGACGAGGCCGCTCGCGTGACCCGTTTCTCGCAGTTCACACCCATGGAGGCCGATATTCTGTTCCACTTCGCTGGCCTGGATGCGCCTTCGGGACGTCTCTCGCAGCGAGACTTCGCCAAGGTCATCGATGCTTCATGGCGTATCCCCGTGATCGCTGTAAGCCATGCCATGACTACCGGAGAGGAGGTTGTCGAGAAGACCAAGAGTCTGCTGCACAACGTTCTTGAGTCGGCTCACCACTTTGCTTTGGGTAGTATCGCTGGTGCCTTTGGTGCTTTCATGGTCTACCCCATTGATTTGGTCAAGACCCGCCTGCAGAACCAGCGTTCGTCTCGCCCCGGCGAGAGACTGTACAACAACTCCATCGATTGCGCTAGGAAGGTTATCCGCAACGAGGGTTTCACTGGCTTGTACTCCGGTGTCATTCCTCAGTTGATCGGTGTGGCACCTGAAAAGGCTATCAAGCTGACTGTGAACGATCTCGTTCGTGGCCACTTCACAGACAAGGAAACCAACCGGATCAAGTACCCTCAAGAGCTTCTGGCTGGTGGAACTGCGGGTGCTTGTCAAGTCGTCTTCACAAACCCCCTTGAGATTGTGAAGATCCGTCTGCAGGTCCAGGGTGAAATCGCGAAGAACGTCGAGGGTACCCCTCGCCGCTCAGCCCTCTGGATTGTCAAGAACCTCGGTTTGGTAGGCCTGTACAAGGGAGCTACCGCCTGTCTTCTCCGCGATGTGCCCTTCTCGGCCATCTACTTCCCCACATACGCACACTTGAAGTCCGACTTCTTCGGCGAAACCGCTACAAAGAAGCTGGGCGTTGTCCAGCTCCTCACCGCTGGTGCCATCGCCGGTATGCCCGCCGCCTACCTAACCACCCCATGCGACGTCATCAAGACCCGTCTGCAGGTCGAAGCCCGCAAGGGTGAAACCAAGTACCACGGTCTGCGCCACTGCGCTGCCACCGTCTGGAAAGAAGAGGGTCTGGCTGCCTTCTTCAAGGGTGGACCCGCCCGTATCATGCGTTCTTCGCCCCAGTTCGGTTTCACCCTCGCCGCTTACGAGGTCCTGCAGAAAACCTTCCCCATGCCCGGTGAGGGCGAAGCCATTACCCCCACTGGCTTCGTCGAG